ACCCCAAACTTTCTGTAGAATCCTCTCTCGAGAACGTAGCACTCGTCAACGTCATCAAACCCTAGATTCGAGAAATAGGAGGTCAGAAACCCTAGCAATCGTAAGGCTGAAGCGTTCGACAGCAAGGTTTAGGGTTTTACCTTGGTTGAGCGCCGTCAGTGTAGCGATGAGGTCGGGAGTCGCAGTTCTCGTACGATCGGCGATGAGATCTAAGGGATCGCCGGCGTCGTCGTTGGCGATGGGGGGAAGAGAGCGAGGCTCAGTTCGGAACGAGAAATGACTAAGAAGAGACGTTGATGGAGCGGGGTATTTATAGAGGGCTGGGATCGCCGAGAGGATTGGGCGTTTTGGGAAAGTTAATGGTGGTGGGGGCAATTTTGGATGCCTATGCGCGCCGATAATTTGGGAAAAGTCTTAGCGTGGAGTTGGGTTACTCTGAGAATTCTGCAAAATGGGGCAGCAGCTAGTGGTGGGCTTGTAACGTAATTAAGGCGTGCGCTAACAACCCAATTAAAAAAAGGAAATAAGAAGTAAATAAAGCCCAGGTCTACTGCATATTTTTTTTCCGCCTTCTTTTTCTCTACTTTTTTTATTTGAGAGCCCAGATATAATTTGATGAAGAATAAATATCACAGTAGACTTTGGAAGGGCAAAACGTTCTAGTCACTGACTAGCCAAAAAAAATAAGCTAAATGTGTTTTTAAACCTGGTAAAACTTAATCTGGTTTAAAATCCAAAAAATTATTAGATATTGAACATATCCTTTTTCCTAGTAGCCATTTATGGCTTAACTTGACACAACATACACATGGTCCCTATTACTTGCTAATTAGACATGAGGGTCTTTGGGGAGCTTATTTCTTTGTCAAAGTAGATTTTAAACTGAATTTCTATATCTACAAACTTGGTGAAAATAGCTAGCATTTAAGTTTTAAAAAAAGTGACAACTTTCCTTTTTGCTTTTATTTAGAATCTTATGTCATCTTATTTATTTCATTGCTTTTGTTTAGTATATTATTTCAAAAAGAAAAAAAGAAAAAGAAAAAGAAATACAAATTGCCGACTTTCCTTGTTGCTTTTATTGTACACTACTAGTTGGATTGCACGTGCAATGCACGTGGTAAAATTTTTAATATTTATTATAAATTTATAATTTAATTTAGGAAAAGATTTGTTATTAAATTATTGAATGTAAGCAATGGATCAAACATATAGACATAAGTTAAAAATTCAATATTTGAACCATGAAATTACATTTAGTGATTGATTGAGTGATAGTACGTTGGTTGCATCTATAAAGTGATCGATCAATCAAATATTGTCACAGGAATATACGTGAAATTAATGTTTGATGATGTGGATCTAAATCCAAGCTCATGATATTAGAAGCTTGATGAAGCCTTTACAATACCTAATGTGTGAGTACATATATTCACACATGAAAATTTCAAAATCCCATATAAATTCCAAAACAATCATAAACTTTGTCCTTCCCTTTAAATATCACCTACTATCTTTAGTATTCTCTACATTAAACCGCCCCATTTTATGCTGAAGATCCACAAGATAATCACTTACTACCTTTGCATTTGAACTCTTTTTTAAGTCAACAAACTTTAAGGGTTCTTTTTCGAAACTTATTAATTTATTGGTTATTGGTTTTCAAAGTCCAATTTGTATCTTTTTTTGATATTTTTTGGCAGGACTTTTATTCTGATTCGTGAGCAGATCCTCTTGATTGAATTGCTAACCCGAGTTGCATACTTTCTTTTTAGTGCCATTGACTCTGAAAATGTCTTCAACTTGTTCACACAACCGCTACCGGCACCCAAATTAAGTGGACATTATTAGAATATATTGTTTTCCAAAAAATAAAAGTTTAGGTTCAATATATTTCATTTCTTTTTAATTAAGTAGAAATCCTGGACTAATTTATATATCAATTAAAATGATTTATAAAACAAGGTCCTTGAAGGGCCCATCTGACTGAATGCAAGCGAAACTTTAGGTGCTTTAAATTCTTGTAGATAATCATTAAAGAAATAGGTCCAAATTATGTAAAACAACACCAAAATTGGCAAACAAACATAGCAATAATTAGAGAAAATACATGAAAAATGTCATTGTGATTACAATAGAAGCAAGTCGTTTATCACTTTTCCAGTCAAAAGAAGCCACAGAAGTCCCTCGGGCAATGGCTCCTCCCCATCGCTTGCAGCAGGTAACACTATCTGGCATTCAGGGATAGAAATTCCCCCAAAATGAATACCCAAAAAATATAAAAGTTGTGTCATCTATTTAAATATTTTGGCCAGGCTTAGACATTCTAGAAGGAAACACACCAAAACTCTGCTGATGTTGTATAACATTTTTATTCTTGTGGCAATATCTTTAAAAAAAAGTGCACTTGTCTTCAATACATTGCATATATTACAATCAAACTCACCTCATCAGGATCAAGTAATGACGTTTCCCACAATAATCCAGTCGTTCCTCTCATTCCACCTATAACCTATCAAAATTCAACGACTTGAGATCAATTAACGTTATCCACACACACTATCGGCTATGTGCCAGTAATAGGTGTGTTGCCCACACAGCCAAATGGAAAATATAAAATTGACATATCTGTAATTTGTTGAGATGAGCACCATATCCACAATGCTGTTGCCAAGTTGAACTTTTCCATGTTCTGATTTTAGCTTCTTCAACCACTCCTGCGATGTATAGTAAAATAAACTGGATAAGGCTAAAGAAATCAAGCAATTATAAGCACAAGGGAACATAAGTCTGAATGTTATATTATTATTACAATGCATAGAGAGAAAAAAGTGTGTAAAGATTACAGAACATAGTTATTTTCGCTAGTGATAACAAATACTGAAATATAACATTACAATATAAAATTTGCATCCATGTGCAGAAATGCTCTCATTTTACAACCATTCTCCACACTCGAGTGATACCTTATTAGATAGACATGCTCAACCAATGCCTATGCAACTCTAGAGGCTGACACATTGAGTTGTATGTAAAGCACAGATGGATGCCATATTGATAAGTCCAAAGTTTGGTACTTTTGAACTGACCTCGTGCAAAACCACTACAGTACAACTATTTTAAACAAAGAAGAATGCCAGTCAGGAGGAAGATACACATGATTCTTAGCCAAGAGCACAATTGTATGAACAGTGAATAATAGAGGATAAAAAAATCATTAAAAAACAAAAAGCAATTTATACTGAACTAAGGATGAATTTGATATAAATTCTCAAGAAAATAGGTTTAGGTAGAACTAAACAATGGGTATGAAACAGTTAAATATCATTGACAATCTAGACATGAGAGATACATGTTGCTCTAGAATCAACTCCTACAATTGCGACTGAAGGTCATGCATGATTAAAGAAAAACATGTATAAGCGTAGTGTATAATTCTCCTAGACATATGATCCATAACAATAATACCCAATAACTAAAAGATACTTGCTGAAAGGGAACAAGCAATGCTGCAATAATGAGAATATAACAATAATACCCAATAACTAAAAGATACTTGCTGAAAGGGAACAAGCAATGCTGCAATAATGAGAATATGTAATGTGTTTATAAATAAAAAAAGATACTTGCTGAAAGGGAACAAGCAATGCTGCAATAATGAGAATATGTAATGTGTTTATAAATAAACAAAAAAGTAAAATATATAAAAAGCTTACAGTAAATTTTCAATACCTTCAGTTGCCAGGAATTTTTTTAGCGCACATTTTTGTTGTTTAAAAAAGAATTAAAAAAAACTATGGAAGCTCAACTTTTGAATGCAGGGCTTTCAGTTGGTGGCCCTAAGGTAGGTCAAATGTTTTAGAGGTTGGGACAAGGAAGTGAAAGTGCATTGATTTTTAGGTGTTGAAGTTATTCCTACACATGACGGCTTGTTTCTATCTCAACACCGACATATCAATGATTTACTACAGTCCTTTGTGTAGTATACTCTGTTACAAAACTAAAATAAAAGATAGAATCCAACCAGAATGAAGTAGACAATGAATAGTCTAGGGATGCATCCAATGAAACTGATGCCCTGATGCCTGCCTTGAAGATCATGGGAAATCATTTTGAACCAATTCAAGATGAAATGGATCTTGTAAGAAATACATTCGTTAAAACATATCGTAACATATATGACATGCATACTATTATAAGATGCATCTTCCTATTTAAGTTGAAACTTTTTACTTTTTCAGTTAATTGAGCTATTGATCAGAAATATGATAAGAAATATTGGATGAATCTAGACAAATTTAGTGAAGTTGCTTCAGTTAAGATACAAAAATTGTGTCTCTTGGTTATCCATTCTCTCCTCCAACAAACCCTCTTTCCTATTTCAAATCTATCATTTAGATACAGAAACTGGGGGAAAACATAAAACCATCTAGTCACACTCATACAACACATATAACCACAACACAAATACCTGCATGCAAACACACGCCTTGCACTTTTGAGTAGTCATAAGCTATAATTGTTGACCCAGGCTCATAAAGCTGCCATAGATACTCTGGATTATACCAGAATTGCCGAAATTCTTAGAGGTAAACGGAATATTCATTAAAGTTGTGACACCTATTTTCCACATAAAATCTCTAGAATGAGTTTCCCCAAATTCTTGACCGTCTCAAACTAATCCTTATGTTGACCGGATAATCCACTTAGACTGTGTAATAAAAACACCTCTAGGGATAACACCTTGACAGCCTCACAAAAGGTATAAAACATTTACCCAGTTCAACGAAGGTTTGAAAATTTTCACAATCAATTGAAGTCTAGGAATTCCCAGTCTAAACTCTTGAAACCTGATAAGCAGCAAAATACTAAGGTTATGAAGCTAATGCACATAATTATGTGAAATCAAAGGAATAAAAAAGTTGAAGAAGAATTAGGCCATTGTATTTTCTTTTACAAGGACACTGAAAAATTGCACAACCTCTAAAGCACAACAGTACAAAAAAGAATTAATACCGCTGGAGGCATCAAGTAATTAACAACATGAAGTGCTTCATTGGCAAATGCGACACAATCCCCATTTTGATAATCAAGATAATATAACAATACAAGAGAGGAGAAATCATGAGAGAAATCCTTCCAACTCTTAAGTTAGACGGCATAAAAATAGATTGAAGTTTTCAAAACAGGAATGTCTATTAGCTACAAGTTTATTGTCTACATGTTACTTGTCATTGAAAAATTAGCAAGGAGAACCAATAAGCTCCCAACACCTGCATAGGGATGTGTATTAAACTATAACTGATGAATTTTCACCAGAATTTGTAAAATGTGATTTTCATACATTTATAGTCGTATTGTTGATCAAATTAATTCTGAAAGATTATTCAGGTCTATATATGATGTTTAGTTATGGCAATGTTTGCGACAACCTAGTTTCTTTGTTCGCCTCCTTTCACTTTTATATACTACCGAAAATAATTCAGGTCTTATTTCTTAAAATAACAAAGTCGATGAAACCGGTGCATGCACATAGAAAGTTTGACCCAAAAAGTGCAGTAATTGGATGAGCTAAAAAAGTACTCAAACAAGAAAGTGCAAGCATATTTACTATTCTAAGGTGCAAAGTGCATGTTGCAACATTCATGAAAATAGAAAGCTATACCGGAATAGTGTATTGGGTGGTAACAAGCTACAAAATCACTCAACCATACAAAGTGCAAGCATCAAAAGCATTCTAAGAGGAGGTAGACATTAGGCTATGTGGTTTTTCTTTTTTCGTCTGCTATTCACTCTTGATCATCAGGAATCACCAAACCAATACAAGAATATTTTAATTAAAAATTGATATGTAGTGGTGCTTGATGCAAAAATATCAGAATTCAAGTCATTCACATATCCAAATATCATACATAAATTTATTTAAAATCTAAGAACATACACATACAAGTATCATACCTAATATTATCTGAAATCTAAGAAATTAACATATCCAAATATGACACTAAGCTTTTTAATGTGCTTCAGTCAAAATAGATTTTAAACTAAATAAAAATATGCATAGTAAAAAAAATTTTGTTTTTCTGTTTCAATTCAAAATTTTCAATGCCGATAATATATGATGAAGTTATATAAATTATAAATTTATATAAAATATTAATATTTATCTTGATAGATGGGAGAATCAACAACCTACGAATCCTTATTCCTGTAAATAATTCATGGCAATCTATTATAGCTAATGTTATTTTTCATTACGTTTCTTGATTAATAGATTTAGAATGTAGAAGCAGACATTGTAGGAAAATATCATAGATAATGTTATTTGAAATCTATCATACGCACAGAGAATCTAACGACAAAAATTAAAAATTTATGCGAGAAAGGGCATGAGTTGTCGCCGGAGTTTGATCCTCAAGCGGTGATTAAAAAATTTATGTACATATGTTATTTGAAATCTATCATACGCACAGAGAATCTAACGACAAAAATTAAAAATTTATGCGAGAAAGGGCATGAGTTGTCGCCGGAGTTTGATCCTCAAGCGGTGATTAAAAAATTTATGTACATA